ATATATATATATATATAAGTGAAATATATTTTTTCACTATTGTTAAAAAAGAAATACTATGATTTAGGAATTTCTTGGCTCTCTTTTGCATTTCTGTATATTGTTATATTTCAGAATTAGGGGTATCTTCACCTACAGCTGAGATTATGGCATGTATTGGGATCTCTGATCTTGAAGCAACACATGTAAATATTACAGATGAAGAGAAGGAGCAGCTAAGGGCATCAGATCAAGCAGGGTAATAATTTTGAATTCCTATGAGATAATGGCTGTAAATATTATGATTATTACAGTTTTAGCAAGCATTTGATATATGAGAGCATTTTCCAGTGTTTTGAAAGTGACAGTCGTGATGCATGGTTCTGATGATAGAACTTGCTATTTATATACAAATTTCATATAAATTTGGCTTAGAGTAGAAAGAGATCAGATTAATAGAAGCCTATTTTGAGATGATTTTTAAGCCTTAAATATGATTGATTCTGGAAACCGTATACATAGGTATTACAGTATCATTACATCTTGTCTATGACCAGTTCCCTATAACTTCACAGAGCCTGTGCAGGGGAATCTCAGCCAAAAGAACGACCTGTGACATCACGACCATTTCTCCAGTCCATATTTTCATCTCTAGATTGTTCTGGAGATGATTACTCAGCGCTTTTTGGCCTGTCACTTCTCTATGCACTTGGACACAATCCAGGTGAGAAAGGAGGGTTGGTTTGCATGAATTTTTAACTACACTTCATTTGGATTTTCTCTTAAAAGTTGTATGGTGTTAAAAACCTAGTGGCTAGTTGATGATGCATATTTGGCAGTGGTTTCAAAAATCATTTTAGTGTACAGCTTAGTAGGCACCATAGAAATGTTCACATATTGAAATGTTAAAAATGGTGTCCAATCCAGTTTATTATGTTAGGTGTGTGGGATTTAATATTTGGAATACTAAATCTATTAATTTTAAACAAATTGCAAAATGGAATTCAGGAAATGGTATGACAATTGCTGGAGAGAATTTCCAAATATTGGTGTTCATGATCCTTTTAGAATTTTTTTCATCTTTGTCTTAGGACAGAACCAGATGTAAAACATTGTTTCTGTAGATAAGATTTACACTTTCACAGGCATCTCAAAGACACTTTTAAATTTCTAGAGTTTGAATATTTAGATTTTAGAAATACAGATAAATTTGCATGTGAGTGAGTGAGTGTGTGCATTAGTCTGTTGATATATATGATTTTTTTTACTACATTTTATACATTATCTTGTTCAGGCTACATTTAGTTCTGTCTTAAAGATATACAGCATATATACATTGTTATTCCTGAAGAAACTCATGCTTAACCTCTAAAGACTGCAATTCCTCAGCCTATCCCCCCCAAAAAAATTACAGTTAACCCCAAATTTTCAACTTTTTATATGGACACATTTGGTCTTCAGTATTTAAAGAGGTCTGTTATATACTCTTAGAAAATATATGCCTAAGCTGATATGTCAGATAGTTACTGGAGAATGGAACCCCAAAGGTGTAAAAGTCCTCTTTGTATAAAAGGAAACATGGGAAAGCAAAAAAAGAACATTCTACATAATTTATATGGTGAGTCCAAAGATGTATATATAAGATACAAAGAAAAGCATTTAAAACTAATGAACATATATTTTTTAATAATACTGATCAGCTTTACTGGGAGGTGACCGTGCAGATGAAGAAGGGGCTTTAGGGAAAGAGAGCAGGGGATGAGGTGGTGAGTGAAGTAGCCTGTGGTGGCTTGTATGGGGTATAGAGGGAGGATTCAGCAGAAGGAGAAGCCCTTTTGTGTGGGAGAAGGCATAATGAAAGAGGGTAGTTCAGCTCTCTGTGGCTCTAAGGTTTGAGGAAAGATACCAGACAGTACCAAATGTGGTAGTTTACACTTAGCCCCATTCACACGAAAGTTGAGGTGGGAAAACAGCCAGCCAATTTTTTTTAAAAGCTGTTACTTAATCAAGACAACTCAGCTGAAGAATGGTATTTAACAGTTTGCTCAGTTGGTCTTTAGTGGTTAAGAATTGAGAACACTTGTCTTGGGAAGTAGCAATGTGTTCACAAATGTTCTCGGTTTTAATTGCATGCTGTTGTTTATATATGTGAAGAATATTTATTTATTCTTTATGATTTGATACATTGCTGAGCAGATAATCCCATGAACCTGTATCACAGCACTACATCTTAACTCAAGTCAGTTATGATAATTTTTTATGTTATTACCCTCACCATAATATCTTATCTGGTGCACCTTGCTCATAAATCCTATTGTTGGCTCCCAGGTGTCTTTCTTACATTTATATTAAAGGAAACACTACATTTCATGTGACTCAGAAATGGATTGTTGAACTGCCAAAAGAGGCATTTTTCTGCATGATACCGTCAGTTTTATAAGCTCTCTTCTAGTTCAAGAGGTGACTTTCATAAGGTTGTTGGTATGCCTGAGAAATTGATTAAGGGTTAGGTCAGAATACAAGTCCTTTATTACTGTATTGCTCAGCCTGGCATCTCCACAGGACTGGAACTAATTCTGGTGTTTCCCTTACAAACCTGCTTTACCATGTGATCTCCAAAGATGGTAGGGAGACTGTATGTGCTACAAGAATCTGAAGCAGATTTGCAGTTTCTGTTTAACTTTTGTTGCTGTTCTGTTGTATTTGTATAATGTCTGATTATTCTTACTGAGGGGAAGAGCAGTATATATGATTATTTTTCTGTTGCCTTTTTTTCAGTTGGGTTAAAAGTCTACATTGTTTATATGGTGAAGTTTGGAATTTTTTAGAATTATTTTTTTATTCATGATAAAGAATGCTAGTAGTAGTAGTACTGCTATTTATATCTTTATAAAGCTATCAGTATATTGAATGGGCAGTCATTGTTTTGTTTTAGAAATTGTCTTTATGGAATGCTAAAATGAATAACAATTCAGTGTCTGGCTGAATCTTGAGAATATCATGCATATCTTCGCTTAGCTAGATGTACAGTCTATGCCCTCCCACACAAAAAAGCCGATGCGAAAGCATTTCCCAGTCTGAATAATACATGAAAAGAAAAATTGTAAATCTATTAATTGATTACTTGATTAAACAACATCTTACAGTGATAACATACATTATATACCTTAATTTAACATCAGCTCATGTTTTTACTTAAAACATACATTTAGTAAAATCATGCTTTCCTTAATTCAAGTTGTACATGTAAGATTGGATCTAAGTTGATTTGAAATTTTATTTCACATCTTTCCAGTGATTGTACATTCAGTTTAGATATAGATGTGGTTTGGTAAGTGGAATATGAGCTTCAGCTGACTGGTCTTTCTTTGAGGCATGCTTGAAAGGATTATGTTACTTCATGCTTGACATTTTTTGGAAAAGTTCTTATTGTTGCGCAAATCTCTCCTGCCTTTCAGCCACCCTGAAAGCAGTTACATACAGGATTTACTGTCAGTTTGATTCCTGATAGGTGTTCCACACACCTGGTAACACTGTGTTATGCAAGATTGCCTTGAATTATTACTGTAGCTGGCAGTCAGCACATGATAATTATGCCAAAGGATACTTCATTAACACTTAATTAGCTTTATGAAAGTAAGCACAAGAATCTGACTAATTGAATTCAATACAAACATAGTAAATGTTTTAAATGGAAAAAGTAAAATCTATTGAATAATTGCCATGTCTTGTGATCTCAAGACATCTCAGCTTTAATGTATCCATAGTGCATAACATGATAGTCTTTACCAACAACACCATTTTAAAGGTTTGTGTGAGCAGAAAATATTATTCTAATCAGAATGTTGGCACAGTGGCACAGAATTTTGGCCTGAGTTATTTAGTATGCTACCCATCTCCTTCCAAACTTCTCACTCCCTGTGACATCCTTACCCTTTCCTCCCCAAACTTCACCATGCATGTGAGTTATGGTTGGCATACCTAAGCAGACATATGCAGAACATCATAAGATATACAGTTATCCCTAATCTGAACCTTTCTCCCCTTTATGTAATTAAACACTATAAACCTATTGGATTCGAGGGAAGATATGATATGGAGTTTGTGCAAAACAAGCATTCTATCACCATCTTGATACAGGATACAAAAGGACAAATATAGACCTTGGGAAATGACATATGTGCGTGAACATACACACACACACACACGGAGATGGAGAGAAAGAGAGAGATAGATACAGTGATAGAGATATATAGAGAGATAAATTGATATATATAGAGAGAGATAGAGATAAAGATAGAGATAGAGATAGAGAGATGGTGATAGTGATAGTGAGACAGAGGTAAATAGATAGAGAGAGAGAGAATGAGAGGGTTAAAGAGAGAGAGAGAATGAGAGTGTTAGAGAGAGAGAGAGAGAGAGAATGAGAGTGTTAGAGAGAGAGAGAGAGAGAATGAGAGTGTTAGAGAGAGA